TACGGGCAAAAAAGTCAAAGTTTCCGGGCGACAATTTTTTTGAAACTGTGTAGATACATTAGGGGAATGTGTAGAAGTAAGAAGAGGAAGAAAATCTCTGGTCAAAAGACATCTGTAATTTTTACAATTTTTTTCTTATTTTTTTTTGTTTTTATGGTCAAAAAAATCAAGTATTCCGGTCGGCGATTTTTCTGAAATTATTTTTATTTATCATTGGAGTATGTAGAAGCAATAAACAAAAAGAAAATCCCTGGTCAAAAGATAATTGTAATTTTCACAAATTTTTTTCTAATTTTTTTCAATTTTTTAATTTTTACGGACAGAAAAATCAAGTCTTCCGGGCGGCAATTTCTCTGAAATTGTTTTTACTTATTAGTGGAGTATGTAGAAGCAATAAACAAAAAAAATCCCTGGTCGAAAGATAACTGTAATTTTAACAAATTTTTTAGTAATTTTTTCTTCAATTTTTCGGGCAGAAAAATCAAGTTTTCCGGGCGGCGATTTTTCTGAAATTATTTTTGCTTATTAGTGGAGTATGTAGAAGCAATAAACAAAAAGAAAATCCCTGGTCAAAAGATAATTGTAATTTTAACAAATTTTTTTCTAATTTTTTCTTCAATTTTTCGGGCAGAAAAATCAAGTTTTCCGGGCGGCGATTTTTCTGAAATTATTTTTGCTTATTAGTGGAGTATGTAGAAGCAATAAACAAAAAGAAAATCCCTGGTCAAAAGATAATTGTAATTTTAACAAATTTTTTTCTAATTTTTTTTTAAATTTTTTAATTTTTACGGGCAGAAAAATCAAGTTTTCCGGGCGGCGATTTTTCTGAAATTATTTTTACTTATTAGTGGAGTATGTAGAAGCAATAAACAAAAAGAAAATCCCTGGTCAAAAGATAATTGTAATTTCCACAAATTTTTTTGTAATTTTTTTTCAATTTTTTAATTTTTACGCGCAGAAAAATCAAGTTTTCCGGGCGGCGATTTTTCTGAAATTATTTTTACTTATTAGTGGAGTATGTAGAAGCAATAAACAAAAAGAAAATCCCTGGTCAAAGGATAATTGTAATTTTCACAAATTTTTTTCTAACTTTTTTTTCAATTTTTTAATTTTTACGGGCAAAAAAGTCAAGTTTTCCGGGCGGCGATTTTTCTGAAATTATTTTTACTTATTAGTGGAGTATGTAGAAACAATAAACAAAAAGAAAATCGCTGGTCAAAGGATAACTGCAATTTTAATAAAGTTTTTTGTAATTTTTTTTCGATTTTTTAAATATTAAGGGTTGAAAATGACAACTTTCCCCTATCGACTTGCGGGTCAAAATTTTTTTGTATTGATTGGGCATCGAGTGAATGAATTTTATGCAATAAAATTTATGGTCTCGTTATTAGTTTTTAAATAACAATTTTTTCCTATTTTTTTTTATTTTTTTAAATTTAGGGGTTGATTTAACAACTTTCCCCTATCGATAATAGGACGAAACTTATTAGGTATTTATTGGGTACCTACTTGAGTAGGAAAATGCAAAAAAATTGATGGTCTGCTGAAAAAAAATTTTCGATTCTTGTCTGATTGTAAAGTAATTGAATTTAAATTTAAATACCTAAAACTTGAAATAATTATATTATTCTTAAATTAAAATTTTAAAAAATTGAATTTGTTAATTAATTTTGAAATAATATCATTATAAGTATTAAAGTGGTAATAATATAAAATATATGGGAAGAGTGAAACAGGCAAAAATGAATCTTAAAATGAGTGCGGGCAAAAACGGAATATATCTGTATCCCTTTCTTGCGCGCAGTGAAATCTTATCCCGCTTTTGCTCGCAGCCAAAAGTAATTCGTTTTTCCTCGTAGCGTAACATTTGTTTCTTTCTTCCGCGCTTACGAAAACTTGACTCACTTTTGCTTGCACTGTTATTTTATACCACTTTTACTTTGAGCCCCTCAAGTATACCATCATTTCCTCCTGAAACTTGGGCCATTGACGAAGGAGATTTGGTACATAACTTGGACTTTTTTCCGTTTGACTATAATAATTAATTCCATCCTTTGGTTCAACAAATTGAATGCCGTAAGGATTATAATCGGGACATTCAAGTTTCACTTGTGACTAAGGTTTCTCAACCGACGCTTTCTCGCTTCATCAGGAGACAGATCGCCGACGATAAGTTTTTAAATATTGTTTTATTTTTATCTTTCAAATTTTCATTTATATCCATCTCATTATATACAAATTTGATCTCATTCTTTTCAAATTTTAATCCTTTTATTGATACCTCCAAACATTTATCCTTATCCATTTAAGATTCCCCTTAAAATATCAATCGCTCTTAATTCATGATAATTTGTCTAATTTCGAACTACGCTTTTTATTTGTATTTTGTTTTTATGTTCTTGAATTGTGTGTCTGTATGTGAGTAAGAACGAGTGTCGTACAGCGCGAATTGTTTCGATAAGGATAATTTTCGGTTAAAATTATTCCTCTATTTTATTTGTTATAAATATTTCAAGATTTAATTAAAAGGGTATATTTTACATTATTTTTGTGCATTTGTTTTGTTATTTATTTTGTCTATTTAAACTAAATTGACCGGTAATATAAATTGAATCTTCGTTAAATTCTCCATATTTAATTTTATCTATTTCTTTGCATTTTGTTTAATAATTCATAATTCAATATAGTAAATTCGTTACAATAATTTTGCAGTACCATAATTTGATAAATTATTGTGCTCTTTAAATATACCTTGTGTATAATAATCATTTTAATTATGTAGGGAACGACAAAAGTAAGTAACAGTGTCGAAATCGCTGGCGATTTCTCAATATTTCAAAAGAAAACAGTTCAGAAACTGATTACAGTTTCTCGTGTGTGACATTGACTGTTTTTTTCAGTTTATATGGTATAACTTTTTTAACGAGTCATTATATATTTTGTGACTTATAGTACATGTAGTGGGAAGTATAAGGAACCAAAAAATCATTGAGACAATGATGTGCCTCAATTAAGATAAAAATGGTGTACCTTCAAACTTGCGAGACAACTTTTCTTAAATTTTAACAATTTAGCAATTAACTTGATATAACTTTTTTAACGAAGATTTTTAAGTAATCATAAAACGGGGTTACATTGTCTACATAATAAGAAGTAATTTGAACCCTTACAGGAATATGTGCCACTTATACATTAGAAATGCAGTGACTTCAAAAGTTAAATTTAAAAACGAAACTCATAATAAAAACCCACATTTTTGAAGGGCACATGTTGAATTTGACTTCTAATCACTTTTAACTCATTGTAATCTCTTTTCGTACATTATAAAAGTATATAGAAAAATCGTTTACCTCTACACTATTCCTAAAAAGAATTTATCTATAAGAAAGAATATGAGCTTCTACTGTCATAATCATTGCTTCATGGAAAAAGAAAGCTTTAAACTCGCAAGTTTGCCTAAAATTTATTATTTATAGGATTCTGGGGTCCTCTGATTACAAATCTGAAGTTAGTTAAAAAAAATTTTTAATGGCGAATCCAAAATGGCGGACGAAATTTTAGAAAAATTATCAAATTTTAATATCTTTTGACATTTAAGAGTTTCCTGTTTTGCTGATTACGAATTTGAAATAATTTTTAAAAAATTTTAAATAGAAAATCCAATATGGTGGATACATTTCTGAAAAATCAAATCTTTTTGCATGATTTTTTTTTTTGAACTTCTCGTTGTTATATAATGATTTGAATGTAATTCAAGAATTGTTAAAAAAAATTTACTAGACTTTTATAGATAATAGGACTTAAAATTTTTGAAATTTTAACAGTAGGTATTAAAGAATTTTAAAGATAACAAGAATTAATCAATTTTAAATTTCATTTTATTTTCATAAGCTTAATTTAATTCTAAATTATTCATTTAATTTATTATTTAAATTTTATTCTGATTTTAGAATTGTAAACTTCTTTTTTTCTAAGTTCCCATGGTAATATTATTTTTAATGTGTCAAAATGTTTTGATTGCCGAATGTAGATATTATGTATTTTATTTAAATAATATTAATCATGAATAAGGAAAGGGAAGTAAAATTTTCAATTAAACGTTATTCATTTTTTGTTCATACTGTTTGTACTTTTAATATAAAAAAAAATTGAAAATTTTTTAGAATATTAAAATAATTATATCTCGTGGTTATTTATTTATTTATTTACTTCTATTGCTTTTTAATTATAATTAATCCCAAAATATTTTTAAAACATTATTTAAAATATCAATAATTTTTATGACATTTTGAAACCACTTTTAAAATTATTAAAAAACTAAATTCAGATTCATAATAATTAGCGACCCCAAAAACTCCTTCATACCCACTTCTGTGCAAATTAAATTATTTTTTAAATTTTCATCCGCCATATTGGATCCGCCATTTGGAATTTTCGAAATCCGACTACAGAATCATAATGAGCGACCCCAAAAACCCATGAATATCCAATGCTGTGGAAATCCATTAATTTTTTTTAAATTTTGTCCACCATATTGGATCCGCCATTTTGAATTTTGAAAAATTAACATCATATTCGTAATCAGCTACCCTAAATACCCCAAGATACCGATTGATGTGAAAATCCAACTTTATGAAAAATCTATGCATTTAGAAACATTTTCTTGGGGTTAAACTCATACACAGGGGGGTTAACAATGTGTAGAAATGAGTATCTCAAGGTTTTTTCTACTATTTGATCAATGCACAAAACAATAAAATTAATTTCAAGAGTGTGGCTTGAAAAGAAAAATTAAGTTTTACAGTACCTAAAAGTTTAAAAGTTCAAGAGATATGCCCATATTCACTTTTATCGATTTTAATCATCACCTTCTTACCGGCGAATCCGCCAGGGATAATTTCACTTATTATTTTGTTCATTTGTAAACATTTGAATTCTATAACAGCTTGTTTGGTGAAATGAATTTTACATTCTCTATTTATGACAGAAATTTTTTTCAGATGGCGGAACTGACTTATTCTATATCTGTATTTACAAAAGGAATATTGTCTTTGAGAAGTGTTTCACTAGGTGTCTTAAGAGTTGATTCTCATAACCTTTTAGAAGACGGCATTCGCCAAGAATTATCGAAAAAAGTTACACTAGCTCTGGACAAGAGTTTAGTTTTCGATTCAAAATCAAAGGTACTGAAACTTTACACTTATGTGAATTATTATACACTGGAGTAAGGATTTATTTGAGTATGGGTACCCTGTCTGAGAGTGATTTTTTTAGCTTTGAAATGGTGAAAAGTCGTCCACAAAATTATTTAATAATAATTTTACTAGCAATTACCCAACTAGCACGTAACGTTACTGTAATGTCACTGTAATATTACATGTAATGTAACAACGTCTTGGGTTGAACTTTACAATATTACAGTGAGATTACAGTAACGTTACGAGCTACTTGAGTAGTAAAATTTCACTAATTATAAACTAACAATTGGGGCATTCTACGTGAAACGGACAACCAGAAATTTCTAATGGAAAATATTTATTTTTTAAAATGCTACTATTACCATTAAAGTGCATGAAATAAAAAAAATTATAGCACTATTTTATAGAAAATTTAATTATTTTTAATTTTAAAATTGTATAAATTTTCATTGAAAAAAATAAAAACGGAAGTTTTGTGTTTATTTTTATAAACCTTCGGCCATTTAAAAATTTTTTGAAAATGCCTTAAAAAATAGTTTAAAGTATGTAGAGTATATGTGCCAAAAAAGAAAATGACATCTTGTATGGTTTAAAAGTTATATCATTTATAAAGTTGTTGTGTTTTACAGTAAAAATTATTAAATTTCGATTAATGGTTAGACGTTTTCTATACACAAGCAACAATGTTCACGGTAATATTGAAACACATGACTTCATAGAGAGTGACTCTATAGAGTATAACTTCGGTCACGACGCGGTAGTGGGACAGAAGGAGAGAGATAGGCGTTAACAAAATTGAAAAAGTCGAAACAGGAGCGTAAGTTTTGAGTGTTCCTTCGATAAATATTCGTTATGTTTAAATATTGTAGTTTTGTTATTGTGGTCTTTTTTAATAAAAGCTATTAATTATTATCCGACATCTTCTAGATGCATAAAAAAATAAAATATATTAGAATGTATGGGCAATTCCACGCAAGATTTACCTATGACCTTGAAAATTCGGTCAAACATATTTTTTTCTCAATCTATATGGAAAAAAAAGAAATACGTGTTTTTTTATTTTTGTTTAATCGCCCAAATTTTCGAGTTATGAATTTTCGAAATTTTGGATTTGTAACTGTAGACATATTTTCAGTAGCTTATAAGTCTGAAAATATTGAGTATAGAAAAAACTTGTCAAGAAATAAAAGTTTTAGTTTTCTTTCAAATTTTAAGAAATGTAAAAAAAAAATTTTTTTTTTAATTTTTTATTAAAAAAAAATTTTTTTTTATAAACAAATTAATTTTTTTTAACTTTGGACCCTTTTCTTTTTTATTTTTTTTAAATTTATTTATACCTTATAATATACAGAAGATTTTCCAAAAAGTTTTGGAGTGGGCCGACGCGTTTAATAAGTTGTACAAAATTTTCAAAAATCACGTGCAAGGTGCTCGTGTTCTACGAAACGCCTCACAATGGAATTTTTTTACAATTTACTTCTCAAAAAATGTCTACAGACTAAAATTTTTAATCGATTCGAGTATTTTTTGTTTTAAATAAAAGGAGAACAATTTCTGAACATATCCCTCCATGCAAACCTAAGAATCTTCAATTGTTTATAATTTTTTTTTAAATACAAAAAGTTAACAAATTAGTTGTGTAGTTTCCTTTAAAAATGAATGATTATTTTCTTATTTTGCTACTACACATGTCGTAAATTAGATTCAATTAATATAATATATGACCACCAGATAAATAGTAAAACATAAAATAATTTATCTAAACACTTATAAACAATATTAGTTAACAAATAGTTAACTTTGGTTCCTCTCCATAAAAAAACTTTGTTCTTTCATATTCATATTGTACTTTAGGTTCATTTAATGAATACATCTCCCTTTCGTTAAAAAACAATTTTTAATTGTTATAAACAATAATAGTTAACAAATAATGAACTTTGGTTCCTCTGCACCAAAAATAATTTTTACCATAGTTTTCATTGAAGTTTATTGCAAAGAATGTTTGTCTCAAAATGAAACAATAAACATTTTAATGTAAAATATATATTAATTGCATTTATTTTATTTTAATTAATTTTTTTATTTTAATTTCAAAAACACAAGGAAAGAAAAAAACATTTAATACAAATTTATATATATATATATATATATATATATATATTAAATTGTTTATAGTTATTGAACAAACTATTTCATACGTTCACTATTTTTTAACATATATTCATTGTAATAAACTTCAATGAAAACTATGAAAAAAATTCTTTTTGGTGCAGAGGAACCAAAGTTCATTATTTGTTAACTATTATTGTTTATAACAATTAAAAATTGTTTTTTAACGAAAGGGAGATGTATTCATTAAATGAACCTAAAGTACAATATGAATATGAAAGAACAAAGTTTTTTTATGGAGAGGAACCAAAGTTAACTATTTGTTAACTAATATTGTTTATAACAGTTTAGATAAATTATTTTATGTTTTACTATTTATTTGGTGGTCGTATATTATATTAATTGAATCTGATTTAGGACATGTGTAGTAGCAAAATAAGAAAATAATCTTTCATTTTTAAAGGAAACTACACAATTAATTTGTTAACTTTTTGTTTTTAAAAAAAATTATAAACAATTGAAGATTCTTAGGTTTGCATGGAGAGACATCTTCAGAAATTGTTCTCCTTTTATTTAAAACAAAAAACACTCGAATCGATTAAAAATTTTAGTCTGTAGACATTTTTTGAGAAGTAAATTGTAAAAAAATTCCATTGTGAGGCGTTTCGTAGAACACGAGCACCTTGCACGTGATTTTTGAAAATTTTGTACAACTCATTACACGCGTCGGCCCACTCCAAAACTTTTTGGAAAATCTTCTGTATATTATAAGGTATAAATAAATTTAAAAGAAATAAAAAAGAAAAGGGTCCAAAGTTAAAAAAAATTAATTTGTTTATAAAAAAAAAAATTTTTTTTAATAAAAAATTTTTAAAAAAAAATTTTTTTTATATTTCTTAAAAGTTGAAAGAAAACTAAAACTTTCATTCCCTGACAAGTTTTTGCTAAACTCAATATTTTCAGACTTATAAGCTACTGAAAATATGTCTACAGGTACAAATCCAAAATTTCGAAAATTTGGGCGATTAAACAAAAATAAAAAAACACGTATTTCTTTTTTTTCCATATAGATTGAGAAAAAAATATTTTTAACCGAATTTTCAAGGTCATAGGTAAATCTTGCGTGGAATTGCCCGTATATTAAAATAGGCATTGTACAAAAAGACACATTTTTATTATTGAATGTACAATCCTGAGTGTTCACAGTTTTCGACGCCAGAGGTGGCGTCAAGGACGAACTCCATAAAGAGAGCCAAAACTCGGACTCTATACTCTCTTTGGAGTCTCCAGTGTAGTAGCATTTTGAAAAATAAGTATTTTCCATTAGAAATTGGATTACTCTGACCCATACTTTATGCAAGTCGCATAATCGCATAATGTTCTCAAACTGAGCATAACTTCTGTATCAAGGTTGCATTTACGATCATAATTACGGTCGTTTTTTTAGTATTAGGGATCTCACTAGAAAGATGAAAGTTTTATGCATATTCCTTATACATTGTAATATTTTGCAGAATTCACTAATGACTAAATTACAAAAATTGGCAAATGTAATGGATGGATATCGAAAATCTTTTCAATATATTCAAGATTATATAAACATTAATAGTTTGAAAGTTTGGCATGAAGAGGTATGTATTCTATGTACTACATTTTGATATGACAGTAATATCACTGTAAAATTACAGACGTATGTAGGGGAGAGTCTCCAGTTGTGAGACGGGTTTCATTTTTGACCCGTAAATTGTAAACGGGTAAACGAAATTGTTAATAAAATACACCGTTCGAAAGGTAACAGAAATACGCAACTTTTATTAAAAGAAAGTATAGTGTTTCGATTAACTCAAAAAATTTTACGATACATTTTCCGAGCACATCGCTTTTTTCAAAAAAAAAAAAATGTCTCCAGTTGTGAGACACTCATTAAAAATTGCTAAAATTTAATAAGTTTGACATAAAACGTTATGTTTAGTAGAAATAATTAAATATATTAATAATATATATTATTATATACTAAATAATAATATTTATTCGCCAAAATATGACTATCAAATAAACACAATTTAATAGCTTGAACAAGAGCATTAAGGCTATGTCCAAGTTGTGAAATGTAAACAAACCAAAAGGTTACTATACCAGCACTAAAATCGCAATTTTCCGACAGCCAATTCTCCCACAAAAAATAACAATTTTACACTTTCTCTACAAAAATGGAAAATTAGAGTTTCAAAATGTCCAAAAATATCATGTTTGGCTATGAGCAATAAAAAGCAATTAGTAAAATAACTAATTAAAATGACCTGTAAAAGAGCATTTTTGACGCGTCGCGAAAAATAAACTGTTTGAGTATATCAACCGCACGGATGATGAAGAAGTTCCATGTCAGCGATTGGACCTTCAACATGTGGAAGGGTAAATTTTTCCTTTTCCTCCTTGAAATTACAAGAGAAAGGGTAAAAACTTCTTCATCTTCCGTGCGGTTGATATAGTCAAACTACAGTTTAATTTTTCGCGACGTGAACTTTGTTGCTCGCTGCGCGTGCGCAGACCGTACCAAGGTCGCAATGACATTGCCATGCAAAAAGGCACATTTTGTTTTCGACTGAAACTTAGTTATTTTCTCATTTTTTTCAGCTATGCAAGGTGTAGTAACCAAATTCGATACTTTAAGGCGCTCGCACAGCTCTACTGCCAGCATGAGAGTAAGAGAGAAAAAACATGAAATTTGAATTTTCTGACTTACTTACTCTCATGTGTTACCATGACAACTATGCATGCATTGGCATGCATGCAGAGCTGTGAGAGCGTCTTTAGTTCACCATTTCCAAAAAGAAAATGTGAATTTATATTGATTTACGCAAATGCGAACCGCGAAAAAATGCTTCACTATTCGGTCTATAATGAAGCATTTTTTCGCTGTTCCCATTTGCGTAAATAAATATAAATTCACATTTTCTTTATGGAAATGGTGAACTAAAGTATCGAATTTGGTTACTAAGCTTTGAATAACTGAAAAAATGAGAAAACCACTGAGTTTCAGTCAAAAACAAAATGTGCCTTTTTGCATGGCAATGTCATTGCGACCTTGGTACGGTCTGCGCACGCGCAGCGAGCAACAAAGTTCACGTCGCGAAAAATTAAACTGTAGTTTGACTATATCAACCGCACGGAAGATGAAGAAGTTTTTACCCTTTCTCTTGTAATTTCAAGGAGGAAAAGGAAAAATTTACCCTTCCACATGTTGAAGGTCCAATCGCTGACATGGAACTTCTTCATCATCCGTGCGGTTGATATACTCAAACAGTTTATTTTTCGCGACGCGTCAAAAATGCTCTTTTACAGGTCATTTTAATTAGTTATTTTACTAATTGCTTTTTATTGCTCATAGCCAAACATGATATTTTTGGACATTTTGAAACTCTAATTTTCCATTTTTGTAGAGAAAGTGTAAAATTGTTATTTTTTGTGGGAGAATTGGCTGTCGGAAAATTGCGATTTTAGTGCTGGTATAGTAACCTTTTGGTTTGTTTACATTTCACAACTTGGACATAGCCTTAAAATTGATTTCTTCTGAATCAATTGACTTTTTTCCACTTGACATGCCCAAAAATACTAGAAAAAAAATCAAAACAACATTTAAATAGTATGCCTGCAAAGTCGTATTTTTTATGCTGCCCAGATGGGTGTTGACACCGTCTCACAACTGGTGATATGCTGTGTCTCACACCCAGAAATTGGCGCTATTTTGAAAAAGGAAAATTAAATTATTCTCAACCGTAGATTGGAACAATGCAATATTGCATCACAAAATATAAGGAAAACACTAAAAGAAAATGCATTACATTTACCTTTTCCAATTAATTAACTTGGAAAAAAAGTACTTTGTATTTATTGAAAAAACGCTTTTTAGTCGATTATCACACACAGTGTTGGTATTTAACAAAAACAGTTTATATATCCGCTTCGGCGTACACGAAAAAGTTGGCTCATATAAAAAGAAATGTTTTTATATAAACCAATCGGCTTTTTAATATTGCATGTTAAAAAAAATTGACTGTCTCACAACTGGAGGTGTCTCACAACTGGAGACTCTCCCCTATATATTACAGTGATATCAAGACAATATTACGTGCTGCTTGCGAATGAGAAATTTGATTTATTAATTGATAAAACATGAATTAAATTACTAGTAAGAATAGGTAAGAAGCGTGGAATAGCGAATAAATAAATTTCCAGAAAATTTGCTTCAAATCGAAGATTTTTAATTATTCTTAATAGGCGAATTTACCTCGGACGTCTATTCCACGGGACCCATCAAAATTTTTCTACTAATTTGCTGTAGAATAATAAAATAATAGATTTTTCGGAAATTTTGATGCGGTTAACCGATTTCTTGTCTATCATTAAATAATGATTACTTATAATAAGGTACATGTCAACAAATGTCATCATGGAAGTAGATAAAAAATTGGACCTCAATAATAAAAAAAAATAAATAATTTCATTTTATTATTTTCAATAGTTAACCAGGTTTTCTTTAAGTGTAAAACTCTGACAAGAATTATGATGGATATCTTTTTCTTAACAGTTTTTCTTTATAAGATATATAATAGAAAATTAAATTTGAACTGTATTATTTACTAGGGGACAGTTGTAAGGGTTGGGAATAGTTTTAACTTTTCTTTATAACTTCCCCTGTAGAACGAATTTCGCGATTTTGCGCATATTGTTGGAAAGATCAACTAAAATGCAATGTTTTTGCTGAACATTGTAAAAAAATTTGACCAAAAGATTCGGAGTTATAAGCAATTTAAAAAAATGTTGCCAGGGTTGACCATTGTTGTCAGAGTTGAGCCACTGTAGAAAATCAATGAAATATTTAGGTAAATGATTAAAAATGACCTTCAAATAATAGAATGACACTTGGAAATGAGGAAAGGAACCATGAAATTAAAATAAAATTCCATATTATGCATTTCCATATAACTTTAGATATTTTATTCCAATGGAAATAAAGTTTTTAATACCTCTTTAAGTGAAAAAATGAATTTCTGTTGCAAGTACGCTTTGTAATTGCAAAATTTCCCTCAAGCTGAGTCTATAGAATGAGAGAAAATGTTCATAGCTATAGGTATACCACAGCATGTTTTAGTATACCTATAGCTACGAACATAAATGCGCACCTTCTCTCAATGTAGACTCACCTTGATGGATCAACTTTGACCCACGCATCGTTTTGCGTCATATCGCACAGAACACAAATGCGTGACACAAACACCAAATTACTTTACACATTTTTACATATCATCTTAATGAACAATTTTTGTAAACTTATTTTGTCTTTGGCATATTTCTTCTACATTTAGTTCTCTTCTTTTGACACCACAAAAATGTTTTTGCTGACCCTATATCACAGAGTCGCACAATACTCAAGTATACGTTCTTATACTTCACTGCGACTTATGTGAAAAGTGCTGACATTAGTAGCAAGAATTTACGTACAAAGATAGATGGCGCTACTGTGATAAAACGAATTTAGGTTGGCCGCCAGAGTTTGAAGGTTGGCCCAAGGTTGGCCCAACTTTGGCAAGCGAAGTTTTGGTTGCCAGAGTTTGACCGACTTTGGCAAGTACTAGTGCCCACAGTTGGCCCGACTTTGCAAACCAACCATTACATGCTGAGTTTAACCAACCGTTGGGCCAACTTTGGCGACAAAAAACTTTCAGTTTCGGTTGGCCAAACTCTGGGCCACGGTTGGCCCGACGGTTGGCAAAACTTTGAGAAACATACTTTAAATGACTTGAACTTTCTTGGTTGGCCGAACTCTGGGCCACGGTTGGCCCGACGGTTGTCAAAACTCTGTGAAACACAGATTAAATGACTTAAACTTTCTTGATCGGCAGAACTCTGGGCCACGGTTGGCCCAACGGTTGGAAAAACTTAAGAAACGCAGTTAAATTAACATAAATTTTCATGGTCGGCCGAACTCTGGGCCACGGTTGGCCCGACGGTTGGCAAAACTCTGTGAAACACAGAGTAAATGACTTATACTTTCTGGGTCGGTCAAACTTTAGGCCACGGTTGGCCCGACTGTTGCAGCTTTAATATACATTTTGCGTTATGCACTCCCATGTGAGCGTAGCGTAGTGGTCAGTGTATAAGTCTTCGGTCGTTAGGTGAGGGGTTCGATCCCAGCGAGCGTTAGATATTTTCGAAAATGTATGTATGAGATTGTGTTTAATAATAATAGGTAAAGGTTATATCTGATGTTCCCGCTAATAATAACCTGTTAATTGTTTAAATAATTTAGTTTTTTAATAATTTTTTACCTTTGGCTGTTGAAGTTGGCCAAACTTTAAAAATTGTGGTTGGCCCAACTTACGCATCTAAAGTTGTGCCAACTTTGGCGTCAGTCTTTGGACCAACCATTGAAATGTATAGTTGGCACAACATATGCATTGTAAGTTGGGCCAACTTCCTTATGAGTTGTCGGGACAACCATCGTCGCCATTAGACGGCCGCCGTTATCATCTGTATGGTTGGCCCAACCTCTGGCACGAGAAGTTGGACCGACTTTGTAAAAGTTGGCCCAACTATGGGCCGACCAAAAAATCGCACCTGGGTCAGTTAC